CCCCACAGCGGGCGCGGCGCCCGGCCGCTCCACCCCCCCGTCGGGCTCAGGCCCAGGGGGGCCCCCCGGCTCCAGCAGCTCAGCCGGGCACCGCGCCTGCTCCACCTGGATCTGAAACTGCAGGTCCAGGGCCCCCTCTGGCCCCGGTTTGGCAGCCATTGCTGCTCACCAGGGCTCTCCTTGTCCCAGCAGGGGATGAGCCCGGACCCCAGGCCTTTCTGTCTCATTCATGCCCCTGCTTGGAAGCATCCAGCCTCCGGCTTCGTCCCCCCTGGGCCTGGTTTTCGACCCCACGTGAGCGAGCTCCTGGAGCTGGTGATGCTGCTACTTGAGAAAAGGGGCTTCTCCTGCAGCTCCTGAGGGCAAGGCAAACACCGACAGTGAGGGGCTGTGCCATGATACCGAGGGATAGGAGCACTGAGCCCACCCTGCTAGCTCCCCTTAAACAACCCAACAGCCGAGTCACCCCTAGGACTGAGTCTAACGTTTGCTAACATTCCTGTTCTCCTAGCGTGGATCCAGCCTTCCTTGTCAGAAAAGCCGTCTGTCGTTACAGCTGTGCCAGTAAATCTCGGGAGGGTAGAGCAGGCCTTAGTTTCACCGTGCCTCAGTTTCCCTACCTCTACCACTGCCCAGGCTCACAGGAGTGTGGCAAGATAACCACCTGAAGGCCTGTGTGTATGCTCCGTCTGTCTGTGTCTGTCTGACACACACACACACACACACACACACGCTCTCTCTCTCTCTCTTTCTCTCTCACAACAATTGGGGTCTAGCAATTATTGTGAGCCTAACTAAGAAAAGCAAAGCAAAGTTTAACAATGTGTTACGGTAACCTCTGACAATCTGTGACTGTGGGAAAGGGAGCAAAAGGGAGAGAAAAAGACTGAATTAATCTAAAGTTGAACAAAAAGGCCTACTGGTATAATTCAGAACTGTGACCAGAAGTTAATAAACCCAAATCGGTGTGTCAGATATTGGGCCTACTGGTGGAACAATATAATGAAGCAATGGGCTATTCCATCCACCCCTCTCTTTTTGCAACAGGGTGTGCATGCCCACAAGAATGGGTTAGCCCAACAGTGTGGATGAAGGAAGTCCCGCCCCTCAGACTGTGCTGGGCATGCTCCAACTGCTGCTTTAGTATAAAAGGGGGCAGCCTAGCTTCATTTTAGATTGAGCCCTGGGGAGGAAGGTGGCTTGGTGGAGGCTTTAGCACTGGATTGTGGGAGTCAGTGATCCAGACTGGAGATGTGTTGCTAACAGAATCCCAGGGAGCTACCTGCTCCCAGAGACCCTGATGATGTTCAGAACCTGGCTTCATGGAGAACCTGGGTCCCTCATCCCAGCTGCCCCCTGCAGTGTGGTCCCTAATTGTGGCCATCAGGCATACAGACTTGTACCCTGAGGCAGCTGCCCTGACTCCCTGCGTTAGGTGAGGCAGCTCTGAACTCAAGTGGTGCCATGTTGACTCTAATCTGGCAGCTACGTGCTCTCTAGCATGAGGACTGTCTGCTGGACTGTCACCTGGGTCCCCCTCCACACTGAAGATCCACCCCAAAAGGAAGATGGGGTGTGCATACATGGCAAGGGGACCTTTAAAAAAAAGAGGGGAAATTAGCATAAAAGGGAATGCAGGCAAACAGATCAGGAAGGAGGAAGTTTACCCCTGTGCCTGTCTGGCCACACTGTCTCCTGGGACCCCAGAAGCCACTGTAACATCACAGGGCCTTTGTCCTCCTGAACCCAAGAGCTGTTCTGACCAAACTCATGTGAAAAAGGGGCCCAGAGAACATCTCCACCTATGCTGGCTAAATCCCAAACATGGCCTGGGATATGAGAGTGTCCCCCACCCCTGTGCGCTGTTCCTCTTCCTCATGATGTTTCCTTTCTTCCCTAGCTGCCTGCCTTTCGCCTTTACACTAGGCTCTTATTAAACTAGCCAGTCAGGGTTGTATCTATGTCTGCAATATATGCAGCCTTTGCCCCTAGGCTATGGAAGTCTCTCCCCGGGACATTCACTTGGCGCCAACGTTGGCACTGTTCCGGCACCAAGCTAAGGCCACCCTTTTACCCGTGCTTTTATTGGTGTTTAGGGGTATGTGTCCCCCCCTCTCGAGGTGTGTTAACAGGTTTTATGTTCTCCCATTTTGTAAGCCGCCTCGAATATTTTAAATAGAGAGGCCAGGTAAAAAAATTTTTAAATAAATAAATACCGCTGTAAATCTCTGACCAAAAAGGTAGCTACCAGCAATGCCCTAAGCAGCCCACGGCTAACTCAAGTTTGTTGAGTCTTGGTGTGATTGATCAGACCATGTGATGAGCAATATGGATCTTTCCAACAGTGAAACTGCAAGTAAGTCCGCTACATTACGGACAGAGGGTGCACATTGGAGCTCTGCTGTCCTTTTCTGTCCCCTGCTGTGTGTCTTGCTTGGTCTCTTAAATAGCAAAAATCAAAAGGTCACTACCAACAATTCTAACCTGTCCTTTCTTAACTTTCTCTCTTGCCCCCAAGTAGCAGCTGTTACCGTGGAAAAGCCTGTCAACCGAGAGGTTAGCTCTCCGGGTTAAAAGACAAAAAAAATTGTTAAAACAAAAGCCTTGGTGCGCTATGTCAAACCTTTAATTGTTTTTCCTTTACTTTTGTATAACTGTAAAGGGGGTTAAAAGAAGGCTTAATGGTGTGTTTGCAACTGTACTAGCACTATCCAACTTTGGGCTTTGCTTAAAAATATTTAATAGTGGGCCCCTTTGACTCTAAGTACACTTATTTTTTGGGATATATGGAAATCACTCTCTACCTGGCCCACAGGCTTTCAGTCACACATGCCCGGTCTTGCACAGGGCGGCTGCTCTCCCATCCCTTCCACTGTCCCTGGGCCCGCAGTACCCATCTCCTAAACCACTGGCTGTTTTATTTTCACAAACCACAGGGGGGTAACCTCCCCAAATCAGAGGCCCCTTGTGAAGGGCTCCACAATCAGACAGCCTGTCCCACGAGGCCCCAACGGTGGGGGAGGGTAATACCCACGGGCGCCCTGGCGCTGCTGAGGCCCTAAGGCAGTGCTTAGTCTGCGTGGGGCTAGAGCCGGCCCTGCCCCACGCCTCTGTCCCGCGTGGGCGCGCCTGACAGGGGGGTAACCTCCCCAAATCAGAGGCCCCTTGTGAAGGGCTCCACAATCAGACAGCCTGTCCCACGAGGCCCCAACGGTGGGGGAGGGTAATACCCACGGGCGCCCTGGCGCTGCTGAGGCCCTAAGGCAGTGCTTAGTCTGCGTGGGGCTAGAGCCGGCCCTGCCCCACGCCTCTGTCCCGCGTGGGCGCGCCTGCCCCAGCCCGGCCGGGATCCCGCAGAGCCCGATCCCCTGGCTGGGAAGCAGGGTCCCGCTGCCCTGGGCGGGGGCTGCCCGTGGGAACCGCTCCCCTAGGGCCGGGGGGCTGCTCCAGGCGGGGTGGGGCGGCTCCCTCCCTCTAGCTCAGCCCGAAGTTATGGGAGCGGATGCGGGGGGGGGGGGGGCTC